ACGTTTACATACATATAGCGCATGTGCTTATTTATGCACATATTTATATTTATATATTTGTATTTATCTTTATTTATATATACATATAATTATAGATATATAGATAATTATGCACACACACACACCTTCTGCCCACGCCGCCACCCGTGCTTGGGTCGTGGACCGGAAACCACTGGGATGCACCTAGGGCCTCTTGGGGGTGCTCCTGCGGGGGCCTCTTGGGGGTGCTTCTGGGGCGCACGAGTTGAGCGAGTGGCTCCAGGAAGGTCCCCAGAATGAGCATCTAAAGTATCATGTTTGTTCAGCTGTGCATGCAGCTTAGTCTTTCTACGATGTTGTGCCCCGCGAGTAGTGTGTTTCGGTTTCTCCGGCGCGTCCCGCCGCTGCCCCTCACGCCGTCTGATCTTTTGCGGCCGCGGACCGGACATGATAAAAAGTGTTTTCGGGGACGTGTCGGCAGCTTGAGCTTTCGTGTGCAAGCTGCGTGGGCGAGAAACCAGAAATCATTGGAAGGGTTTGGGTTTATTCGGTGCCTCGACGTTCGCCAAGGAGGCCCCCGGAAGCCCCAACAGGCGCCCACAAGGCTTCTAAAAGGCGTCCGAGACCGCCACGAAGCCCTCAAGACGCCTCGATCATTTTTTCTTCCATTGCACGTCTCGGTAGGGAGACTTTCCCTTGCTTCGTTTGAATAATATGTATTGGCCGATTGCTTTAAGTATGCGCAATGGAAAACCACGAATTGTCCGATGCTACGATACGAAAAGGCTGACGCTAGCCTCCCAGTTAAATACAGGCCAGTACGTTTCTACCAACTCGCTATAGAATGAGGCTCCTGTCCAGGGGAAGTGCGGGAGGGGAGGTTCAGCAAGATCTTGCTGAGCACCAAGCTTGGCGCCGACGCTCTGCGCAGCCACGTGGAGGAGCGAGCGCGCTGTCGAAGGGAGGCGGCGAAGATGAGCCGCTTTTCCTTCCACCCCTACCATAGGGCGGACGGGGAAGACGGGAGGATGGGGAGGTCCCCCTCCTCCTCCTCCTCCTCCTCCCGTTCCCTCTCCTGCCTTTGTGGTGGCGGCAGATGAGCGGCCCGTCGAGCGGAGACTCCGCGCCCCCTCCGGCTCTGTCGGTTGGGGTCCCTATTGGCCGCCGCGCCCGGCGCCGGTCCGGGGCCCCAGCGCGTGCCCAGGAGATCGGTGCGGGCGGCCGCCTGGCCCGGCCAGGGAGGCGGGGGGGCACCGATCCCGGGCCCGGGAGCGGCCCGGGCCCGGGATCCGCGGGGGGGGCCGTGGCAGAAGCATCGACGAGGTCGGAGACTGGAGGAGGAGGAGGAGGCGGAGGCGGAGGCGGAGGCGGAGGAGGAGGAGGAGGAGGAGGAGGAGGAGGAGGAGGAGGAGGAGGAGGAGGAGGAGGAGGAGGAGGCATATGCATTGCCAGTAATCATTGCCAGTGGCGGGCGGTTTTTCAATCCCAGGACTTTTTCGAGGGTCGGGGGGCGACGTCGGGGTGGTGTGGTGTAATACTTTTTCCCCCGTTCTCCCCGGGGAAACAGCCAAAAAGGTATTCGCCATGATCCCGTATACACCAGGATCCGTTTTCCTGTGCGAATTTCAGTGCGGGGCCGGAAAAAGCGTTGGTGTATAGAGTTCGGCTCCTTATGAAGACCTCCACTTGCGTCAGCTCCTCGACAACAAAGAAGAGCCGAAAGGTGTGAACCGCCACGCAGAAAGCCTAGGCCAGACACACCAAGAACCCCTCCAGAAGCCGATAAGGCACCAGGGCACACCAGGCCCGAGGGCAAGGGGAATGCTTACCACAACGGCACATCCCTCGAGCCATTTATTGGAAAATGCACCTGAGCCACATCCCACCAGAAAAAATCGAGCTGCACCATGACCATACCAGTGGAGGTGCGGCCAGGCCCACGATGCAAGAACGAGAAATGTGAAACACCGATGGGTGGAGAAACGACCACGCCAATACATCGAGCACCACGGTGAAGGACTGAATTCGACCCGGTGTTGCGCCGCCTTGTAGCCCAACGCCACGTAGCGGAAGATGACGGCCTCGAGCCGCAGTTGTACACAAACGAGCATTCAGCCCGGGGAGGCGCGCAGACGCTGGCTCGAGCCCCATGCTTGAGCCATGCTGGAGCCCCTTGCTTGAGCCAAAATGGCTACGGAGGTGGAGGATCGAGGAGGAGGAGGAGGAAGAGGAGGAGGAGGAGGAGGAGGAGGAGGAGGATGAGCATGCTGATGATGATGATGATGATGATGATGGTGGTGGTGGTGGTGGTGGTGATGATGATGACGATGATGATGATAAAGTGTTCGAGGAGGTCGAGGATGCCCGCCGTCGGCCGCTGCGGCCCCGTGCTGCAGAGGAGCTTGACAGCGCGGAGGGCGTGTGGTCGCTGACGCAGAAGCTCAGCGACAGTATCACCACAAAGGCCCCAGCCCTCTCCGCGTCGGACGCGGGCGTCGATTGGAGCGGGCTTGAGGTCTGAGATGGCCCATCACCGGCTCCGTGGTGTGTTCGAGCTTCTGGCTTCGACTAGGTTTTTTGCCTTTTTGGGTCTCTTGGGGCCGTTTTCGGGCCCCAGGACTGTCAAAAACGGATCCGGGGTGAAAGACTGCACCAGTTGGACTCTGGGAGGGGGCTGGGGCCCGCCGACCCTGAATGGGGGAGGAGCAGAAGGCCCCGGGAAGGCCGCGAGGGAGCCGAGGGGCGCGCGAAGGCAGCCTGGCGACTACCCCAAAGCGGCTTGGAGCTCTCGTCCTCCTCCTCGTCCTCCTCCTTCTCCTCCTCCTCCTCCTCCCTCCTCCTCCATTCCTTCCTGCCTTCCATCATCCCTGGGCCCGTCAGCTCGCAGCCTGGAGAGCTCCACCTGTATCTAATCTAGTGGCTTTCGTCCCAGGGTCGTGCCCAGGGTCGTGGACCAGACATAGGCCCCATGAGTACAGATAAGGGTCTCTTGGGGTGCCTCTCTCAGAGGCCTCTAAGCGTGTTCTTGGGGACCTCCAGGAGCACTCTCGGGGTCATGTAGCCCTCTTGGGGGCTTCTTGTGCCGTCTTGAGGCCATCTTGGGCCGTCCTGTGGCCATCTTCGGCAGTCGTGCGCCGTCTTGTGTCCACCCAGGGCCGTCTTGAGGCCATATCGAGGCAGTCTTGGACCGTCTTGGGGGCATCTTGAGGGAGAAAAGAGGCCTCCAAATTATTGCCCATGTAGGGGTTGGTGGGTGTTGGTGGGGATACGAAAGCCTCCCCGTCCAACGAGCCGCTTGTGAGCCAATTTATTAGCCAACCAGTCAACCCTCCAACGATGTATACACGATACAGAACTTGCAGGGGGCATGCCGCATTAATCGACGATTCGCGTATTCCTACCCGCCTATCCAGAAACGATTCCCAGACGAGTTGTATTGCTCAGAGAGGTGTAAGCACATGCATTGGAGCAGAAAGGGGAAGCAGCGGTTGAACCAACGCCAGGGATCAGCTTGGTAAAGGCCGTCGCATATCATTCGTCATGGGATCCTCTCGGAGAGTTCTTGGGGTCACTTTGGGCGCTGTTCGGGCAAGCATGGAGGCTTTGGGGGCCCTCTTGGGAGCTTAGAGGGCCCTCTGAGGACCATCTTAGAGGGTATCCATCACAAAAGGAGGTCCTGAATCAGCGCTGCCCCTCTGGGGCCTGAAAAATCGTGTCTGGCAGCCCTCTTGAGAGGCGGGGCGTTTTTTTTTTTGGGGGGGGGGGGGGGGGGTAAGGGGGAGGGAGGAGAGGGAGAGAGGAGGGGGGAGGAAGAGGGAGAAGAGGAGGAGAGGGAGAGGAGGGAGACGGAGGAGAGGGAGGAGAGGAGGGGGGAGGAAGAGGGCGGAGAGGAGGGGGGAGAAGAGGGAGGAGAGGGAGAGGAACGAGGGATGGGGAGGAAGAGGAGGCGAGGGAGCGTTGGGCAAGATCCGCGCTCTGTCGCCGTGCGTGCCTCGCAGTGCCCGCCTGAGTGCGTCTCGTCGTCCTTCGCCTCCTCCTCGTCCTCCTCCTCGTGCTCCTCGTGCTCCTCGTGCTCCTCCTCCTCCTCCTCCTCCTCCTCCCTCTCTTCCCCCTCCCTCTCCTCCCTCCTCCTCCTCCTCCTCCTCCTCCTCCTCCTCCTCCTCCTCCTCCTCCTCCTCCTCCTCTCCCTCCTCCTCCTCCTCCTCCTCCTCCTCCTCCTCCTCCTCCTCCTCCTCCTCCTCCTCCTCCTCCTCCTCCTCCCCTCTTGCTCTCTCGCTGGCTCGCCTCCCGCTCGCCCGAGGGGGGCGGCCCGGGCGCTCCCAGCGCCGGCCAGACGCCGAAAGGGCGCCGACGACGCCCCCCCCTCTGGCCCTTGCGGAGGCGCGGCCTTCGCGGGCGGCGGGCGGCGGGCGGCGGGCGCGCGGAGGCCGCTGCCAGCCTCCTCCTCCTCCTCCTTCTCTTCTTCCTCCTCCTCCTCCTCCTCCTCCTCCTCCTCCTCTTCCTCCTCCTCCTCCTCCGTCACGGACCTGCCGTGATGGACCACCTCCCCCACTTTCCCCCGAATCGGGCCATTGGTAATGCTAGGTCTTGGATTTAAGGTATCCCCCCTACTCTCCTCCTCCTCCTCTTCTCCTCCTCCTCCTCTCCTCCTCCTCTTCTCTCCTCCTCCTACCCCTTTATCATAATCACCACCACCACCACCACCATCATCATCATCATCATCATCATCATCAGCATCATCATCATCATCATCATCATCATCATCATCATCATCATCATCATCATCATCATCATCATCATCATCATCATCATCAGCAGCAGCAGCATCATCATCATCACCATCATCATCACCATCGTCATCATCGTCATCATCATCATCACCATCATCACCAATCATCATCATCATCGTCATCGTCATCGTCATCGCTATCATCATCACCACCACCGCTATCATCATCACCAGTCTGACCATCATCACCATCATCACCATCACCATCACGACGACCATCACCATAATCATGAGATCCGCACTCCCAGCCAGCTCGTCCGCGACAGCATTGCCCTCCCAGAGTTCGTGTCGAAGCTAGAGGTCACGCAGCACTCGCATCGTCCGTCGCAACGGCGGCCCCAACCTCGGACTGAAGCAGCACTACCTGCCCTTGGCCCACTCGAGGACGTCCTGGTTGTCGGCCCAGATGTCGATGATGAGCTGGAGGGGGGAGTCCCTCCCTGCTGGTCTGAAAATGGCCTCTGGCGTCCACTGCACAATGTGCGGGACGAAGGGCCTGGCCCGTCGTTGCGTCGCGCTGCGCTCATCCCCACGCGCCCTTTGAGCACGACGACGCTGCACGTACTTCGTGCCGTTTAGCCCGGCCTCGTCCACGGCACTGACGATGAAAGCGTCCACGGACTTGCTCCAATCTTCTCGTTTGGCTCGCCGGCGCCAATCCGGCCCCCCACTGCGACTTGCGAGGTCTTCCTTTTTGAGCCTGGCGACGCCGAGCGGCACGAGGAACGTCGATGGACCCCGGCCTCCCCCGCTGCTCCGCCGAAGCCACCCTGCACCCCTTAGGCGATGCTTAAGAAAACCAAAATTTTCGGCCAGAGTCTCGATTATTCTTAAGATTTCAATGTAAATCCCAAGATTTGAATAGACATTCTGGGTTTTCGTTCAGATTCTGAGACTATGAATTTCTTAACCCATGATTTCTAAAGCATTTCGCAGGGTGTACCCCACCTCCTGCGCCCGCGCAGGGCGTCCAATCGAAAACTCTTTTTGCCCTCGTCCACCCCCGAATCGGGTGCGTAGATATTCCAACACCGCAGGCGACCAGCGGCGATGATCGGGAGGAGGTGCCCGATCTTCCTTTCCCGGTGTCCTGGGGACCCCACCAGAGCGGGTGAACTTCGCGTCCAGATCGAACCTGCGATCAGTGGGCGCCCCAACCGCACAAAGCATGCATTGTCAAGCGGGTGCCCCTGCCGAGATGGCGTCCCAGCTGCTACCCTCTGCGTCGCGGGACCCTGGCAGTCCGACGCAGCATACCCCTTCGAGCTGGTGGAGGTGCTTCAACGTCGTCACTTTCAGAGTCCACGATTGATACAGTCGGTCAGAGCCCGAGCATCTTCTTTGGGTGGAGGGCACAGGGTGAAATTTGAAATACCGTTCCGACTGATTTTCGAGGCTTGAATCTGCAAAAGGGGTGAATCACGCAACGGATCGAATCCCGAGGGTGCAGAAGTCCATATGGATCTCACCCTGAGCCCTCCACTCTCAGAAAATGTCCAGAGAGCTGGAACGATGTGGGTGCAGTGCTGTGGAACACGCTCCCGCCTGCTCAGGGAAAGGGCTCCCGATGTGGGGGTCGGCCCAGTACGCTCCGCGCGTCGCTCCTCTCCTCTGTTCAGTGGTCGCCGCCGTGTCGCCCCTGTAATTCAGCCACGCGCAGGGGGGTGGGGGAAGGAGGAGGGGGGAGGGCTTCTTAGAAGCACCCCTGCTTCTTAGAAGGCGCGGGCCTTATCTATAGATGTAAGGCCGGCGCCTTCTAAGAAGCAGCCTGCTTCTAAGAAGCCCTCCCCCCTCCCCCCACCGCCTTGTCCGCGCCGCCAAGTAATGCAAGACTGCGCCCCCAGCTGCAAAGAAGTCCCCACCTCTGGATCCCAGGCCTTGATATAATGCTTGTGCCTGTCGCCTGCTGGGATGTTTCCCGGGGCGTCGAGATTCTGAGAAGACATAAGAAATACAGACTGTTTCTTCCTGTAGTTGTGAACCCCTTGCAGGTGGATAGTAAACATCGACATCTCACAAACTGCTTTCTCACCTGTCTCCCCGAAAAAATGACGCTGTCCGCCCAAACTGCATGTGTGAATCTCGAGAGGCCGATCTTGACCCAGAAGTCCAAATCGATGAAGAGTAGGACCACCACCATCATGATGTCCGCAATTGAGGCATTCCATTTGTATGGTGCGTCCGTGTTGCCCGTGCGCTCGCTCCTTGATCAAACCACGGGCGCCTCAAGGGAACATTCTGGAATACTGCATGAATTTACCTCGGCAGCGCGACCTCGACGACAGCGGAACTAGTGACCGCTTCCACCTTGATAGACTTTCTGGTGGAAATCGTCTCCTGCCGCACCCACGACGCGATGAACAACTGGAGCTGGGAGGACGTTAGCGACCGGTGTCCGCGAATCCGTCGGCGCGTCTAGTGTGCCAGGAGCAGGAGCGTGATTTCCAGCCATTCACTTCTGGGTGAGAGAGGGGCCATAATCCAAAACATCATCGCCATTATCACCACGACCACCATCATCATCACCACCACCATCATCATGATCACCATGAGCATCATGATCACCATCGTCAGCAGCATCATTCAAGGGAGGAAAAACCACCCAGACCGGACACTTGGCGTTTACTAAACGGCCTTGGGCGTTCACTAAACAGCCCTGCCCTGTTCGATTCCTTCAGTGGGGGCGTTTATTAAACGACTTCGCGTGTCGGGGTGGTTATTCTGGGGGTGGA